CAGCACCTTGGCGAGTGAGTGATCACCATCATGTAGCAGGTCCTTTGCAGAACGTCGCTCTCATCACAGTCTACTTGAAAGAAACTTGGTCTCTCGCCAGTTTTCTCGTCTCATGCACTTTCATACTCAAGGAGTCACTTAATATCTTCGTGTCGGTCGGCCCCTGCCCCTCCTTCCTGGTACCATGCCTTCTGTTATAATGTTTTCTAATCCGTCGTGGCGCTTGACATGACCAAAATATTTTAACTTCCGAGACAGGATGCTGTTTATTACCCAATCTTCCTTGATGTTCAGATCTTTCAAGAGTTAGATTAACGCAAAGAGAGATAGATGAAGAAAACGAGAGAAGCCTTGTTTTTTTCTGTTCTATTATTCCGCTACGTCACGCCGGCTTCGAGATTTGGTAGGGACCGTCTCATAGTTAGGGCTAGGGCTAGTGTTAAATGAATAGCGACTTCGGTTAGGTTTAAGTTGGTCTCCCCAAACAAAGTAGGTCCCGTTTAATTCACAAGTTTGTTGGACTGTTCTGCTTTCCTGGAGGTTACGGATGTGCCGCTCTGTTGTTTGCTTTCTGGGTTGTCTTGCATTTACGCTTTTATTTCCAGAAATAGAATCCCTGTGACATAGGTTGCAGTACTCTCTATAGGAGTTGTGTTGGACCCAGTTTGTCCATATTTTGTGTGTGTGTTAAAAGCGCTGGCCTGCTGAAATATACAACGCGCGATATCACCGGCATTGCGGAACACCCCCGTAAGCTTGTGACAATGTCACATGGCTCAATGTTTACCAATCAGAAGTGAGTTAATGTGTATATTGGCGGTATCTGGGGAGTGAAACATTGCTTTTACCAGCGACTACTACTAACCCTAACCATAACACAAATTCTCCTACACTATGGAACGGTCCCTACCAAATCTCGAAGCCGGCGTGATGTGGTCAAATAATAGAAAAGAACCGAAACTTTTTATCATGTCATTGTTGGGTGTCAGCAAACGAATTGAATCCCGCAGTTGGAAATCGCAAGGTGTGGAGAAACATAATCGCTCAATCCAACGGGACGCGGCACTTGATGATGATGATGTCCAGGGGCGTTAACCGTCCATGTACCGGAAGTAAACAAAACCAAGGCAGCGGTGAACCTGAAGCTGCCTTGGACCGCGAAATGTTTGTCAACATTGGAATGTTTTAGCTTCAGTTTCAGTCTCACGTCAGTACCCTAATGTAGTAGTGGACTCACACCCTTTCTGCCTTGCAGAAATGACGTGTCATTCGAGTTTACTGAACACTAGAAATGAAATCGGCCGAGTAGTAGTGACAGTAGATTTCATTATTACTTAAATTACTATTACCGATAACTTATCGTATCGGATAAGTGTATTAATTATTATTTTATTTTGATTCGCGGGACAACATGTGAAAAGATGAAGCAGCGAATTCGTTGAATTAATATGTCCATGTGAAATTAAAATAATGTTACGATGTCCGTAGTCTGGACACAACAACCGCCCAGCGATGGAGAAAGGTAGTGTTAGTAACCTGAGAAAAAAACGGAAGCCAGTAAAAAAGGTTGGTTTCTTGATCTGTTTTTCAAGTGTTAACATGTTTTCTTTGTATATGTAATATGTGCCATTGGCAGTAGTAATTTAATCATAGATATCATGTTTAATTCTAGTGTACTACAGCCGGTCTATTCACGAGTTTACTCAGGGGCCAAAGTATTAAAAATGTGGATCATCAAAGGCTATAGTAGGCCAAGCCCCAGCTTAGAAAGATCATTAATACTATACAATACAACCTGCATACAGCATAATGTTAAAGTGAATGGAGGTAACTTAGTGCAACAAAGCCTGCATATGATACCACTACATCTAGTTGGAGAATGGAGGTGGAGGCAGTCACTGCAGCTGTCTGCTAGCTTGAGAACCATTTGTATACACATTGTAATTGTAACTGACTCACAAAACATGTTGAGAAATGTGGAAACAGGTAGGCTGCCCACAGAGTAGCAAGCATCGCTTCATAAGTCCTGGGTAGGTAGCATCCTTTGGATATTTTCTCCAGGATATGTCAGTTGGATGGTAAATGAACAGGCAGATAGACTGACTTATACTCCATTAAGGCTTCTAGCTTCTGACTAGTCAGTTCTTGATACCAATATCAAAACCAATATAAGGCAGTCTGCTGCCATATCCTCTGCAGCTGGGATCAGACCCAGCACCTCTCGCTACAAAGCGCATTCACAATGCCTAAGCCACAGATGCCAACCTTGATCTCTTAGTCTGATCATAATTTTTCAGATTAAAAAATGTATTACAGTAACAGTTTCTCAGACATAACGAGTGAAAGTAATTATTAGGTACATTATTATGTTGCATTCAATATTATTACTGTATATGCAAATTTATGTTATTTTTCTCTACTAGCTGCACATGTCACAGTATCAGCAGTTAGACAGTACACATTATTAAGCAAAATATTTGTTTTGTTGCTTACTTTGTCAATTCCATAATGCTCTTAGTATATGCTACACCACTTGTAGTTAAGAAAAGGAAACTTTTTCTGCCAGTGGCACATCAGGCATATGATGCCAAAGTCATATTTTTAAAAACCAATCCACACTCTTTTGGGGATTGTAGTCAGTAGCTATCTCACACATATATTCCAAATATCTCCTATTGTGGCTACCTCACACATATATTCCAAATATCTCCTATTGTGGCTACCTCACACATATATTCCAAATATCTCCTATTGTAGCTATCTCACACATATATTCCATATATCATTTTCTATCTGTAGCTCTCTCACACATATATTCCATATGTATCCTTCTATCTGTAGCTCTCTCACACAAATATTCCAGATATCTTCTACCTGAGCTCTCTCACTCATATATTCCAAATATCTCCTATCTGTAGCCCTCTCACACATATATTCCAAATATCTCCTACATGAAGCTATCTCACACATATATTCCAAATATCTCTTATTGTAGCTATCTCACACATAAATTCCATTTATCATTTTCTATCTGTAGCTCTCTCACACATATATTCCAAATATCTCTTATCTGCAGCTCTCTCACACATATATTCCAAATATCTCCTACATGAAGCTATCTCACACATATATTCCAAATATCTCCTATCTGCAGCTCTCTCACACATATATTCCAAATATCTCCTACATGAAGCTATCTCACACATATATTCCAAATATCTCCTACATGAAGCTATCTCACACATATATTCCAAATATCTCCTATTGTAGCTATCTCACACATATATTCCATATATCATTTTCTATCTGTAGCTCTCTCACACAAATATTCCATATATCTTCTATCTGAGCTCTCTCACTCATATATTCCAAATATCTCCTATCTGTAGCTCTCTCACGCATATATTCCAAATATCTCCTACATGAAGCTATCTCACACATATATTCCATATATCATTCTATCCATAGCTCACTCACACATAATTTCCATACATCTCCTTCTATCTGTCACTGTCTCACACATATTTTTCTATAACCTTATGTCTGTAATCTATTGTCAAATCTAGTCCATATAATCTCTTTCTGCCTGTAATACTGTCACACATGTGTATGCCATATATCCCCTACTTCTGTCTGTAATCCTCTCACACACATATATGCCATATATCCCCTACTTATGTCTGTAATAATCTCACACACACATATATATGCCATATATCCCCTACTTCTGTCTGTAATCCTCTCACATACACATATATATGCCATATATCCCCTACTTCTGTCTGTAATCCTCTCACACACACATATATATGCCATATATCCACTACTTCTATCTGTAATCCTCTCACACACACATATATATGCCATATATCCCCTACTTCTGTCTGTAATCCTCTCACACATATATATGCCATTTATCCCCTACTTATGTCTGTAATAATCTCACACACACACATATATATGCCATATATCCCCTACTTCTGTCTGTAATCCTCTCACACACACATATATATGCCATATATCCCCTACTTCTGTCTGTAATCCTCTCACACACACACATATATGTCATATATCCCCTACTTATGTCTGTAATTCTCTCACACATATATATGCCATATATCCGCTACTTCTGTCTGTAATCCTCTCACACACACATATATATGCCATATATCTCCTACTTCTGTCTGTAATCCTCTCACACACATATATGCCATATATCCCCTACTTATGTCTGTAATAATCTCACACACACATATATATGCCATATATCCCCTACTTCTGTCTGTAATCCTCTCACATACACATATATATGCCATATATCCCCTACGTCTGTCTGTAATCCTCTCACATACACATATATATGCCATATATCCACTACTTCTATCTGTAATCCTCTCACACACACATATATATGCCATATATCCCCTACTTCTGTCTGTAATCCTCTCACACACACATATATATGCCATATATCCCCTACTTCTGTCTGTAGTCCTCTCACACACACACATATATGTCATATATCCCCTACTTATGTCTGTAATTCTCTCACACATATATATGCCATATATCCGCTACTTCTGTCTGTAATCCTCTCACACACACATATATATGCCATATATCTCCTACTTCTGTCTGTAATCCTCTCACACACACATATATATATGCCATATATCCCCTACTTCTGTCTGTAATCCTCTCACACACACATATATATGCCATATATCCACTACTTCTGTCTGTAATCCTCTCACACATATCTGTATGCCATATATCCCCTACTTCTGTCTGTAATTCTCTCACACATATATATGCCATATATCCGCTACTTCTGTCTGTACTCCTCTCACACACATGTAAATGCCCTATATCCCCTACTTCTGTCTGTAATCCTCTCACGCACACATATGCCATATATTTCCTGCCTCAGTCAGTCATTGCTTATCCTCCATATTTTGTTTTCTTGTTGGCTCTTTCTAATTTGATGCTGTTGTACAAATATGTCTCAGGTGGTGCGTTTTGCCAGTGATAGTGAAAGATCTGACTCGGACTCTGCACGATCCAGGGACTCAGTGCATTCAAGAGATTCTGTGAATTCCAGAAGTTCTGTGCGATCTGGGGATTCAGTGCGATCAGGGGATTCAGTGCATTCCAGAGATTCTGTTCATTCTGGATATTCAGTGCAGTCTGGGGATTCTGTGAATTCTGGACGTTCAGTGCATTCCAGCAATTCTGCTCATTCTGGACGTTCACTGCATTCCAGAGATTCTGTGAATTCTGCACATTCAGTGCATTCCAGAGATTCTGTGAATTCTGGAATTTCAGTGCATTCCAGAGATTCTGTGAATTCTGGAATTTCAGTGCATTCCAGAGATTCTGCTCATTCTGGACATTCAGTGCATTCTAGAGATTCTGTGAATTCTGCACATTCAGTGCATTCCAGAGATTCTGTGAAGTCTGGACGTTCAGTGCATTCCAGCGATTCTGCTCATTCTGGACATTCACTGCATTCCAGAGATTCTGTGAATTCAGGACATTCAGTGCATTCCAGAGATTATGTGAAATCTGGACGTTCAGTGTATTCCAGAGATTTTGTGAATTCTGGACGTTCAGTGCATTCCAGAGATTCTGCGAATTCTGGACATTCAGTGTATTCCAGAGATTCTGCAAATTCTGGACATTCGGTGCATTCCAGAGATTCTGCAAATACTGGACGTTCAGTGCATTCCAGAGAATCTGCGAATTCAGTGCGTTCATTGCATTCCAGAGATTCTGTGAATTCCGGACGTTCAGTGCCTTCCAGAGATTCTGCCAATTCCGGACGTTCAGTGCCTTTCAGAGATTATGCAAATTCTGGATGTTCAGGGCATTCCAGAGATTCTGCGAATTCTGGAGATTCTGTATATTACAGAAATGTGCTGCATTCTGGCGATTCTTTGCATTCTGGCGATTCTGTGCTCTCCAGCCCAGAAAATGATGCCAACATCACATGGATGCCCTCTGAGCATTTGTACAGCACCAACACTTTCATCTCAGAGTCCCAGAAAGACAAGACTCCAAGCCTGGGTAAGGTTATAAAATTGGTTGCACTATGCCACAGACACCTAAATACTATTTTTACTTAATTGCTTTACAATATATATGCGTTAGGCACACTTGTGAATTCCTACCCCAGATGGGTACAAATGAAGTACAGTGAAACTCCAATAATCATCATTTGTGGGGAAGGGTGAGTATTAAAACTAAAAAATATCAAACAATTTTTTGCCTCAAAGGAATTAACTAAAAATGGTTTAATCCATTCCTAGTCCAACATTTTGTCTGTCTGTCTGTTCTTTAACCCAAAAAAATTTCACTTGAAAATCGATTCTGGAAATCATTGCGAATAAATTTTAATCACATATTAACCACTGAACTTATTATTGTTTTATCATTGTGACAGAGATTTACTCATCCTGATGACATAGATATACTGTAAGTGTACATAAGTACAATTTTATCAAGATATTTACCTTTTGAGTTGGGAAAAACCAATGGCTATTGTTTGGAATAGTGGTCACCTTCCATTATTACATCAGGTGATGTCACTTCTGGTGATTTGTATCCAGATAATTTATCAGCATTTCCAGATGATTCACAAGCACTGTTTTTTTTCTTTTAAGAAGATATACAATATTTTTTTTATTTTTAAAAATTGTTCCTAAAGGGTTCAAACACATGGTCATCAGACGAATAATACGCTTAGTAACTATAGCTATGTTTGGGTGCCATTTTTCAATGAAATCCAGAGGAGGGATTAATATCGACTTTTTGAGCGAATATAAAACAAAAATTTCAACAAAAATACATGACAGATTTGTAAAAAGACGAATATTTGCATGGATGAATATTGGATTTGCACTGTATTATTTTTTCAACACACTATAAATTTTCATTTGATCTGATTGTCCAGACAAGATTTTCTTGAAACAAGTATTTATCATTTAGGTGAGTTTGGCATAGTACCAGCGATATTATCTTCTGTGTGGCAGGGTGGGGCTGTAGTAGTGAAGTGAGGTGTTCAGCCGGTGGTCCGCAGACCACCACATTTTGATAATGGGAGAGGGGATAGACCCGCTGCTCTTTAATTTTTTTTGCTCCCCGGAGTTTAGCATCAGAGGCCCATGGGGTGGTAAAGAGATACGTAAAATTGGTGCATCTTGCGTTCCTTGGGACTAAAGGAGTTAACAAGCATATCTCAAAAGTTTACTAATTAAAGTTGGCTGAAATTGGATGTGTTGGACCAAAAGATGCAGATCTATCTCTCTCTCTCTCTCTCTCTCTCTCTCTCTCTCTCTCTTTCTCTCTCTCTCTCTCTTTCTCTCTCTCTCTTTCTCTCTCTCTCTCTCACATGCACACACACACACACACTCACAGAGGGAGAGATAGAGAGATATGTTTAGACATTTCATAGTGAGTGCCTACCTTTTTTCCTTTGAAGAATAAGCCCTGGTTAGCAGTGAATACTTTGTAGTCAACCTTCATTGTTGAAATAGCACAAGCTTTTAATGAAACATTAGCCCCATCAATTACTGAGCTCTAAACAGCTTTTACACAAGGTGAGACTCTCTCTATAATCCTGACTACTTAATGTTATACTGGTTTCCACCTACCCAGGTTTTTTTCTCTGGGAAATTAAATCTAGTGTCTCTGTGCGTGCGTGCGTGTGTGTGCGCGTGCACAGCTCACATGAGATCTGCCTAACTCCTTTCAGTTCCAAGTATTTGTTACTGTAACCTTTTCTGTTCCAAGGAGTTGAGATTAAAACCATTAAACACCTAGGTGTGAAGGAGTTCGAGACAGAAGTGGTTAAACTATTAATTCAGATACAAGAAGTTAATATAACATACGTATGTGATTGAAGACAGCAAAAACATTATATTATCTTTGGAAATACCAAGAAATGTGTTGTTAGAGTTGATTGGTATTGAAGGAGTTAATACCGGTCAGGAGCAGTTCTCATCTGGCCACTCTGGTACAGCTTAAGCAGCCAATCATTTGTGTCGCCATGTCACATCAAAATGACAGGTCAGTGCATCTTTCAGATAGGAATCACTGCCCCATATACCCCACACACCTCTAAATACAGAAACAGATCTTTTAACGTGCTAATAATTTCAGACTACACCAGCGATGACTACTGCGCTTCCTTTCACTCAGACCCCAGTTATGATTCAAACACTTACATTGACCTAGACTCGGAGGATGACACTGCAACACTCAGCGATTACTCATGTATGGATAGTCTGGCCTCGAGTGGATGCACCGATAGCTTGGCTTCATCAGGGGTCTTCTCTTCACAGAGTTGTGGTGACAGACCAGCATCCAGGGAAAATGTGAAAGAGTAAGTGAATTCTCTTTATTTGTCAAATCAAAATTTTCAGTCAGTTTGGCAGATATGCAGACTTTCTTTTTTTTTTGGTGTGTGTCATGGCAGGTTTTTGCTTCTGACTCTAGTTAGCTGTTGCATTTCCTCTGTATATAGATTGAAAGGATTTTGTCCCCTCCCACAGCTACTGAGTTGATTGCATTCACAGCACTGAGCTGTGAATTTAGTTTGGAATGCTTTTTGACTTTGCCCAGCATAGTTTGTTTTGTAAACTGCAGATTCAGAAATTAGCTGGTAGAGAACTGGTAGGGCTTTATGCGATTAATTGCTTGTGCAACTGCTGATTTGTTGTAACTGCTGCTCCCATGGATGATGAACTGCATCTCTAGTGCCAGACTGTTTCTGATAGCACTTCTGACAGCTGCCTTATGCATTTAAGAGTGTGCATATTGTTGCTTTTCCAAGACTATAGTCTGTGTAATTTCTTTTATATGGGTCAGTGATAGACATAATGTCTGGTTTTTGTTTGGCACAGGAATGGAACAAGTGATGGACATTTTGTCTGGTTTGTGTTTGGCACAGGAATGGAACAAGTGATGGACATTTTGTCTGGTTTTTGTTTTGGCACAGGAATGGAGCAAATGATAGACATTTTGACTGGTTTTTGTTTTGGCACAGGAATGGAACAAGTGATGGACATTATGTCTGGTTTTTGTTGGCACAGGAATGGAACAAGTGATAGGCATTATGTCTGGTTTTTGTTTTGGCACAGGAATGGAACAAGCGATGGACATTTTGTCTGATGTTTGTTTGGCACAGGAATGGAACAAGTGATAGGCATTATGTCTGGTTTTTGTTTTGGCACAGGAATGGAACAAGTGATGGACATTTTGTCTGGTTTTTGTTTTGGCACAGGAATGGAGCAAATGATAGACATTTTGACTGGTTTTTGTTTTGGCACAGGAATGGAACAAGTGATGGACATTATGTCTGGTTTTTGTTGGCACAGGAATGGAACAAGTGATAGGCATTATGTCTGGTTTTTGTTGGCACAGGAATGGAACAAGCGATGGACATTTTGTCTGATGTTTGTTTGGCACAGGAATGGAGCATCTATGTGATGACCCATTTGTTGTTAATTTGGAACTGCTGTTTCCCAAGCTAATGAAAGTAGATCTCTATATACAACAATAAGAAAGAGACAAACACTGTTTTTTGGCCACATAATAAGAAGAGAGACATTAGAGAAAATCGTGACAACTGGAAAGATCAGTAGAAAAGGGGGTAGAGGCAGACCAAGAGAGACGATGCTGGATGGGCTAAAATGATGGTATGGAGGGATATCATCAAGAGAGCTGTTACAGACAACCAGGCATTGTGAAGACGCATGAGCTCCTATGCCAGTTGGCATGGCACATGATGATGATGATATATCATAAATGTTTGTTCCATAGAGCAGCAGTTTATGTTTTTAAAGTCTTACGGAACTGAAAAATATAGCTGTGTAATATATCAAGTTTTATATAACAGACTAGAAATAGAGATAGAAGCCAGAGTACAGAAGGCAAATGCTGTCACCTACCAGTTAGCCCCACTGCATAGACACCCAAATGTCTTCCTTCCAGCAAAACAGCAAATGATTAATAGCATCTTTATCCCTACTTTATGTTATCATTACTTTGTACAGTAGAACATCTGGGAGGAAGGCGAGAGGAAATCCAAGAAAGAGATGGATAAATGGTGTAGATGAAACCAAGAAGCGCAAGACAAACACAGAAAACCATGACACCAGGCTACAACCTAGTAACAGTGAGATGACAAAAGAAGAAGAATATAACAAGTTATTGTAATAATTTTTGAATGGGTTAACTTAGAGAATAAGAGAAAAGAAGTAGTCCAGAAATGTGTGCGTAATAGTCTCTTTCCTGCCTGTTTTTACCATTTTTGTGGTGTAGGCACAATGTTCTTCACATCTGAGGATTGAGAGCCCAATTGTTAGTGCTGTCGCCAGAGACTTTGCAGGTTAGGATTTTATTTTTGCCCCCGGACAGAAAAAATAAATCCCCAACCTGGCCAAGGATTTGAACCCAGGCCTCCTGTTTAAGAGCTCAACATTTTAATCATTTGGCCACTCGCACCTCCTAATATACAGTCATCATTGAACTTATTTTGAGTTCCCTGGTTTGAAAAAGTTTGATGCCTTCTTCTTTTTGTTGTTCTGTCGGTTTTTTTTTTAAATGGCCTTCAGTGTCATCTGTTTATCTATTAATGCTCTGCATTCACTCTTCAAATATCAGTTAACGCATTGTGGTTTACAGTTAGGCTGCACAATGTGTGCGCTTCAGCTCTACTCATCGATTAGCTTAAGCACATTGTTTGTGTATCTCCTATACATATATCAGTTACATGTGTACATCTGTCGGTTATCTTGTGTACATCTGTGTTATCTTATATACATTGTACATGTATCACTTATCTTGTATACATCTATCATTTATCTTGTGTACATATATCAGTTACCTTGTGTGCATTTATCATTTCTTATATGTACATCTATCATCTTGTGTACATCTGTATGTTATCTTGTGTACTTCTGTGAGTTATCTTGTGTATATCTCCGGAACTCTGTATGCAGAAAGACATGGTTCTGACTTCACAGCTACCCTGGTTAACTTGTGTACATCTGTCATATATCTTTTATACATATATGTTACCATATGTATGTCTGTCAGTTATTTTGTGTACGGCTGCTTTTTTTCTAGTGTAAATTTGAATCTATGTAAAAGTAAGTAAGGTAAAGGTCCCTTTTTCACGCTTTTAGGTATATAGGGCTAGACCTATATTTTTATAGACCAATCGGCACAAGATGTGTGATGTTGTCAACATCGCGCTGGCCACCTTTACTTCCCAGGACTGCACCTGGTACCCACTGAAGGTTAAGTTGTCCTGGAAGTCAAGGGTATTTTTGAAAAAAGGCCAGCTCTGCCAAGGAGTAAACCCATGATTTTCTGATCCGCACACGAGCGTCTAGCTGCTACTTTTGAATCTATGCTGTATTAATATTACTTTTTTCTCTCTCTCTCTCTGGGCCCCTATTGATACTGAAGACAAATCCATGTTATCACTTCTAGTTACGATATTGGGACCAAAGTTTTTATTTTTGGTCTAGTTTCATAACTGAAGGGAGCCAGAGTGGTGTAGCAGCTAGACGCTCGCCTGCTGACCCAAAGGTCATTTGTTCAAATCCGCATGGAGCCAGACATAACCTTGTTTGCCTGGTTGATTCAGCCTCGAATGGATACCAGTCAAAGCCATGGGAAATAAAGGCAGCCGGTGTGTTGCTGACCGCGTAACCAATTGAGGGTTGATTGATCTATACAAGTATTGATTCTAGCTCATATGCCCAATGTGTTATTAATATGCGAAGAGAGCTTTGCTAATTTACTTCATTGCTGAAACCAGAGTTTTTACAGTAGTCTAGTTTTGTTGTTGGAACCGTTGACCAGCTGGTGTTTCTCCTTGTTTATGTTTTAGTATTGAAGAACTGACCAGCGTCCTGAACCAGAGCTGTGTCAGGTGAGTGTATACATTATATAGGCAAGCTTGATTATATAGCAAGCTATATATAGTAAGTTGTATGTCATTATATAGTAGCCGAATATCATTATATAGCAAGCGGAATATCATTATATAGCAAGCTGTGTATCATTATATAGTAAGCTGTGTATCATTATATAGCAGTCGGAATATCATTATATAGTAAGCTGTGTATTATTATATAGCATGCAGAATATCATCTTATAGTAAGCTGTATATCATTATATAGCAAGCTATAATATTATGTAGCAAGCTGTATATTATTATATAGCAAGTCGTGTATCATTAAATAGCAAGCTGTATATCATTTATAGCAAGCTGTTTATCATTTATAGCAAGATATGTGTCGTTTATAGCAAGTTGTATATCATTTATAGCAAGCAGTATATCATTATATAGCAAGCAGTGTACTGTTATGTAGCAAGTTGTGTGTTGTTATAAAGCAATTTGTATCATTATACAGCAAATTATATATTGTTAGATAGTAAATTGCATCTTGTTATATAGTAATGTGTATCACATTGTTTAGGAAGTAGTATATTGTTATATAACAAGCAATTTGTTTGTTGCTATACAGTAAGTTCTATATATTTATATAGTAATTTGCATGTTGTGATATAGTAAATGTGTATTGTTATATTGTAAATTGCCTCTTGTTATATAGTAAATTGTATATTGTTAATTAGTAAATTGGATATTAGTAAATAGGAAACTGGATACTGTTATATAGTAAAATTTTATATTGTTATATAGTAGATTGTATATTGTTATATAGTAGATTGTATATTGTTATATAGTAGATTGTATATTGTTATATAGTAGATTGTATATTATTGTCTGTAGGAAGATGAAACAGAGGTCACAGAATCTGACACTGAAGAGCTGGAAGACAAATCTAGACAGAAATATCTTCTGAACGTAGTCACAAAGTTGAAGCTGAAAGGTCTGGAGAACACAAAAAGTTCAGACCCGGAGCAGGTGGTTACAGTGAAACGTGAAGTACCACCAACTGCCTCAGGTGAGTCTTGTCTTGTCCTGTGTCTGCTGTCTTGTTAGCTCTTAGTAAAAGTTGTGTCCTTCACACAACGTCTTAGACCAACCCCCAGCATTTGTTGGCTGTTTATCAATTTACTAGTCAAGTTTGGAGCGAGTGAACAGTGAGAAGGCACAAGTAGATCATTACGGTCTGAGGAGAATGACGCTGCGTGAAGTTACCAGAGGATCTGGTTGAAACTCAACACTCAATGGAAAGGCGAGATGGTTGTACAATCAGACAGTTACTAGTACCATCAGAATTGAAACGCTTCACTTGCTGCCGAAGATCAGGACTGAGTGCTTTTGGGAGTTTTCCAAGTGCTATGATGTCGATTCTCAATTTAGCATTTTCAGTCCAGTTTATGTTCAGTAGTTTGTCATTGCCTCTGAATGGTTGGTACTAAATACTGTGTCAAAATCATCTCAGAGTGTTCTGCTGCCAGATCACCAGCAGCTGAATTGAACCAGATATTTTGGAGTTTGAAGTTGAACTTTTTGTATTACCCTAAGTAAATTTGGCTTCTTTGTGATGCAAAGTGTTACCAATTTGTTGAGATACATTAGGTGAGTCGACATTTGGTCCATCATTAGATCTGTTCATGGTGATGCCAGCTGAAAATGTATCACTTATGGTGATGCTAGAGATGTGTTTGGTCTGTGGTCCATCATTAGATCGGTTCATGGTGAAGCCAGTTGAAAGTTTATCACTAATGGTGATGCTAGAGACATGTTTTGTCTGTAGTCCATCATTAGATCTACTCATGGTGGTACTTTTGGTCGGTTTTGTCCTAACATTATCTGTTGCACATTTTCATGGGAGCTTTACTTACTTTTAATCATCACGGCCTATCTATGATTGATGAAGGCAAGGCTGGAATACTTAATAACCTGCTTGCCACATTTTGTATATAAAACTGGGGCCCCAGAACTCATCTAATCTCATCTTTAGTCCTTCATTACATGTTATCATTGTGAAACATTTGGTTCAGTATAAATATTTTGAATCAATGCTCACCTGATTATGAGAGAATTTAATTTTTGATTCAGGGCCCTGCAGCAAAGAGAAAGCCTTTTATCAGAGAATGATTGACACCTGCCAGAAATCAAAACGTAAGTTGGTATTTGGCTTATTGCTTAACTTTACTGTTTTTTTTTTTTTCTGTATCACCATCATCGTCATCCCTAACACCTTGTGTCATCAGCTGCTGTTGGCTGTCTCATCAGCTCCCTCCACCCTTGACAGTCAGATGCAAGGCACTTCATGGTTGCATGAATAAGGCCTGTCCAGTTATTCAAGTTCTGTGTCCATGTCTTTCTTGGTCTGCCTCCTTTCCTCTTCCCCTCTGCTGAGCCCTGCAGTATTTTTTTTGAGAGGCCATTAGATCTTATTACATGTCCATACCATTACATTTTCTGCCTTTTCACTGTAGTTAAAAGAGGTTCATAGTTGCCAAAGTGCTGGGTAAATATAAACCAAACCTCGTCATTTGTGATGTGGTCTCTATATTTCTGCATCAGATTTGGTAAAGTTAGAAAGTGAAGGATCCCTTTTTTTTCTCATACAAATGGTGCTTGGTGCCTATTCTGATGTCTATAATCAGCATTTGATGAGGAAAACAGTCAACATTATGCTGTTTGCCTTTATTGTATTTGAAAATATTCTTAGTAACTAATTCAGGCATGTTGATCTGGGAGCCAAAATCATTTCTATGTCTTACAGCTTCAAACAACCCTGCACCAGTGTGCACTGTCAAGAATGAGTGTGCACCACAATGCACTGTCAATAAGGAGTTGCAACATCCACCAGAGTATTATGGTCTCAGCTCTAGCATTGTAGACAGACTGAAGAATGACAACTTTCAGTTTTGGGTCAGAAAGGTACTACATTTCAACTATCTTTGTACAATGTTATGTGTGATACGAGGTGAAGTCAATAAGTAAGTTACAAATAGTTTTTATAAAACTAAAGATGACAATTTGAAAACCATTTATTTGTACACATACACTGTTTAAGAAATAATTTCCACCAACAATGATTCACATGTCCCATCATTTTATCAGTCCTCCCAGACCTGCTGCATAGAACTGCATGCTCTGTTTTCTAAACCACATTTTCACCTCCCATTCAACTTCTGCGTCATTTGCGAAATGTCTAACACCAAGGTGTGTTTTCAATGGACGAAAAAAGATGGAAATCGCTAGAGGCTCAGTCGGGGTTGTGAGGTGGATGTTCCAGAAGTTCTCACCCTAGATGGTTAATTTTCTCCTGAGTCAACTGAGCTGTATGTGGTCTGGCATTGTCATAAACGAGCAATACTCCTCTAGTCAGCATGCTTGGATGTTTTCTTCAAATTGCATCACGAAGCATCGATAGAACTTTACTGTATGAATCAGCATTCACATTGTCACCTTTTTTAAAATTTTTTTATTGGTTAAAAGCAGTCCTTGACAATCCCAGAATACTGTCAGCATAACCTTCCCAGCTGATGGCATAACCTTGAATTTTTAAACACAAGGCGAAGATTACATTGAAGCACGCTTTGATTCGGCTGGTAGTGATGCACCCATGATTCGTCCCCAGTAATAATCCTGTTCAGCATGTCTTCTTCATCTGCATATCAACAGAGAAGCTGCAAGGACAGGCCTAATCGGTTCATTCAGTGTTGGTCCGTTAAGTGTCTGGGTACCCACCATGAGCACCCTTTCTTAAATTTCAATCGATCATGCATTATGTTGTATACTGAACCATGTGAGCACCCTATTGCAGCTGCTACAGAGTCAACCATTGCTTGCCTGTCACCTCTAACCGTCTCCTCCACCCGCTGCACGGATGCATCTGTTGCAATCTCAACAGGATGACCAGATCAGACTTCATCAATAATTTTAGAGCATCTTTGAGAATTTTGTTTTTAACCCACTTATGAACTGCTTTACAGGATAAACATTTGTGAGCATAAACAGGAAGCATTCCTTATAAATGTCCTTTGCAAGCAGCCCTTTTGCACACACAACAACAACAAAAACGCACAACAGCATGTTGTTCTTTGAGGGCACACTCTGTAAAAACAGTCGCCATTTGTTTCTGTGTTGCGAACACCTAGCACCACCTAATGAATGGAAACATAAAGTTCTATGTTGATGTCACCTAATTACACCTTTAAAAGCCACCAACTAAATTGTCCTGCCATACCATAACCATTTATGACTTATTTATTGACTTCCCTTTGTATATTGATATATTTCCTGTATTGTATGGTCTTCAGTGTGTGGGTTCCAGAGCCCCATCGTGGGGGAAGGGGGGAGGGAAGAGGGAAAAGAACCACTGCCCCCAACATGCATATCCTAAAATATTGGGGTGTTTCCTTCAGAGTTTGAGAGGTGAGGAACCTCTAAAATGGATGCAATGCAAAGCTTAGGTTTTGGAAGAAAAAATGGGCAAGCAACCAGAACTGTCTGCCAGAGTTTGCAGCCAGTGAGCACGAAGGTGCTGTGTAGGATTTGTTGTGTTACCTTGTATAGCGCTGTGTGTGTGTGTCTGTGGCCTGCATGGAAACATCCAAAATGAAAGCACACACAGTTGGTTCTGCCTGACTTTTTTTTTTTCTTTCTTGTGCTTCAGAAAATGGCAGACATTGACCGAGACACAGAACAGTCAAGGGAATATGTGTAGGTATCTGTAGATGTCCCTCTCAGTGTCTGCCTCATATCTGTCTGTCTGTCTGTCTCTGTTCCTCTCTCTCTATTTGTGTCCCTGTCTCTCTGTGCCTGACCCTCCTATGTCTGTCTTTCTATCCCTGTCTGTCTTTGGCCCCTATCTGTGTTTCCTTCTCCCTCTTATTTCTCTCCCTGCTCATCTGAATGTCTCCTTGTGTCTGTTTCTCTGCCCATGTCAGTTCCTCTTTCTCTTTCTGTCTCTCCCAACTCTATCTGTGGTCTGCCTGTCTCTGTCGGTTTGTGTTCCTATCTCCCTGTCCCTGCAGATCTATTTTTCCCTGCCCCTGTCCAACCTCATCCTATGTATCTCTCTCTGCACCCTTCACGCTATGACCCTCTCTTTGTCTAAAAAAAATGTCTTGTTTAGCAGATTTTTTTTTAGATATGCCAAAAAATAAATGACTGTATTATTTGACCTGCTTAGGGTGAATTTTTTTTCCACATACCTGAACATTTTGACAGTTTTGGAGAGAAATTGCCCGATTCATCAGTGTTAGAATTTCAGTTATTTCCAATTAAAGAAAAGGAAACTATTGTACATCAAAACTGTTGTGCCTGACAAAGAAGCACAAAACAAAACAGATCAAGAGGAGACAGCCTCAACATCTGATTTCTAGGGATTCCTTCAGGACAACCCTTCTCTCTTTCCTAGCAAGCAGAGTGGCAATTTACTTCCTGCATTGAAAGAATTTTTTTCTATAGATTTTGTACAAAGCTTATCATTACCAGAGCTACACGCTGTATGTTTGATACAGTCTTCAGCTGGCAACAGATACAGTGGGAAGAGGAAAAGACAAGAAAAAGAAGAGAGGGGTATAGAAATAGGTTTGACCATATGCTTGATAAGAGCAGTTTCTATTAAGAACTATTTCCTGGGTCTTTGGTGTGTTCTCCTTGTCAGGTCTGCTCTCTGTATTTATATATATGGTATAGCTGTCTATTTTCATATATGTGGTACAGAGATGTCTATTTTCATACACATAAATCAGATGTCTGTTCACACACTGTAAAAATGTCTGCTTTCGTACACACAGTACAGATGTCAGTTTTTTACACAGTACAAGTACAGACGACTGTTTGGTTCATATGTCTGCTTTGATACACAAAGTACAGATGTCTGCTTTCATACTCACAGTATAAATGTCTGCTTTCATACACATGGTACAAGTGTCTGCTTGCATACGCACTGTACAAATGTCTGCTTGTATACACACAGTACAGATGTCTGCTTGCATACACACGTTACAGATATCTGCTTTCATACACATGGTATGTATGTCTATTTTCATGCACATGGTATAGATGTCTGCTTTTATGCACACAGTACAGATGTCTGGTTTTATACATGTCGTATGGATGTCTGTTTTCATACATGTGGTACAGATGTCTGTTTTTGTACGTGTGGTACAGATGTCAGCTTTCATACACACGGTACTGATGTCTGCTTTCCTGCACACGGTACAAATGTCTTTTCTCACATACATGGTACAGATATCTACTGTAAAACTGATGCACATGCAACACTCAGGTTCTGGAGCAGGACTGCAGTTCAGTAGTAAGCGAGCAACCAGAACTTTCTGCCAGAGTGTACAGCTGGTGAACGTGAAGAAAAAGATATCTACTTGCATACATACGGTACAGATTTCTGCTTTTCTGCACATGGTACAGAAATCTGTTTTCATACACATGGTACAGATATCTTTTTTCACACATATGGTACAGGTGTCTGCTTTTCTGCAAACAGTACAGATGTCTGCTTTCCTGCACACAATATAGATGTCTGTTTTCATACATATGGTACAGATGTCTGTTTTCATACATATGGTACAGATGTCTGTTTTCATACATATGGTACAGATGTCTGTTTTCATACATATGGTACAGATGTCTGTTTTCATAATCATGCTATAGGAGGAGGAACCAGCATGTTGAGGATGACTTTGAGAAACAGCAGTTCATCAGCCAGATGAAGGCTCAGGTGATGCAGGATAACATGGAAGACAACATCCAGGCACACTTGATCAAAACGGTAGTGTAGTGTCTTGGGAATGTTGTAGACAGCTTAGGTGGGACATTACAGGGGCATATGAGGTGTAGTGTCTAGCATGTTAGTATGTCCATTAATTGATCAGATGGTTGAGTCTCCTTTAAGGCCAGCCAGTGAAGGTTGTAAGGAAATTTCCTGGGAACTATGGTGGCTGGCAGATCTGACCACATTGCACACATGTAGTGCAGATAGGTTTTAAAATATGAACCTAGCAGATAGGTTTTAAAATATGAAGCTAGCAGATAGGTTTTAAAATATGAAGCTAGCAGATTGGTTTTAAAATATGAAGCTAGCAGATAGGTTTTAAAATATGAACCTAGCAGATTGGTTTTAAAATATGAAGCTAGCAGATAGGTTTTGAAATATGAAGCTAGCAGAAATGTTTTAAAATATGAAGCTAGCAGATAGGTTTTAAAATATGAAGCTAGCAGATAGGTTTTGAAATATGAAGCTAGCAGATAGGTTTTAAAATATGAACCTAGCAGATAGGTTTTGAAATATGTAGCTAGCAGATAGATTTTAAAATATGAAGCTAGCAGATAGGTTTTAAAATATGAAGCTAGCAGATAGGTTTTAAAATATGAAGCTAGTATCATCTATCTTAATTCATCTCATAAAAGGGTTAATTGTATGTATATTATAAAATAAAGTCAGCATCTATGGCTCAGGTATTGCGAACGAGCCTCGTAATGCCAGGGTGCTGGGTTTGATCCCAGTTGCGGTCAGTTTGTTTTGCGATGGTTTCAACTGTTCAGAAAGCAGTGGCAAACTACTGAACATAAAATTTGCCTAGAAAAAAAACTACAACAGCCAAAAAATGCTGCAGTTTGTTCTGCAATGTCCTGTAAAGGATAAGCAATTAACTTTAATGTTATATAATATATGTATATTATGTGTGTGTGTGTGTGAATATATATATATCATACAGTGATGGCCTATGGCTAGAGGCCCCCTAGTAACATTGATACTTCCATACATTTATGGAGTTTTGCACCAGCTTCTGTTTTAGCGTATTTAACATGCATATTTCTATATATATATCAAAGTACATTGCTGGTTTTGGTCAGAATTTAAAATTTAAAAAAAAAATTTATATGGCTACATTTAAAAACATTGTTCTGTTTCATCTCATGCAGTAAAGAAGTGTACTTAAATTTCCACAAATAAGCCTGTAAAAAGCAGAGACCTTATGGGAGAAAAAAGGCAGATTTTTACAATCAAATTGAACTTGGCTCCCAGTTTGACGTAGACACAAAAAAAGTGGGTACTAGATAGAGTCCTGGGAAATAAAAGTAGCTGTTGTGATCACATCATCCACCGGGTGTCATTTAGTCTTTAAAAATATAGGTGTGGTATCATATCCCCAATGCATCATTGACATTCAAAAATGGTCCATTTCAACTCGTTCAGTGCCAAGGCACATATCAGGTGTTGATGTACATCTGTGATTTAATTGTCCTATGGTGTCGAAAGAGTTGAAGTCCTGAGAATATTGAATATAGATTTATACCAGTCAATGACTCTCTGTAGTGAGTGTGTTTACCTGCTCCAACACTGATATCTGAGGAAGCAGCACTTGTTGCTGTGTGAGGCCTGCAGGACCTTCCCTTGTGTTCATTACATGCTGTACCAGACTTTTCACAAATACAGGAAATTATATGGCTGTCTGTCGGTCTGTCTGCCCTAGTTGCAGATTGTCAATCTATGGATTATGAGGTATATGAGAAGTCTTATCAGCCAGCAAAGGACTGGAACACTGGTGTCAACGTTGATCGCAGAAACTGAGCACCTGTGGGCGCATCTAGAGTGCTAATACATATCTAACATGCTTCTTCTCTGCCACTCAGTCGTTAACTTACCTGCTATCATTTTCTCCTTCATCTCTGTTCTCAAAGATAAAATACCACTTTAACATGTATTTATAAAATACCACTTTAACATGTATTTATTAAATGACAATCAACAAACATGCCTGAACATTTTGTTTGACTGACCTTCCTGTAAAGCTAGTGAGTAGTAACAATTTTTGTTAACTTTAGGATAATAAATCCTACCATAATTCACAGAGGCCATTTTGCCCTGCAATCTTTATTAAAAAAATTTTTTTAACTCAGGATCCCAAGGAAATTCCTAAAAGAAACAAAATTCCTTATAAATACATCAATTTGACTTAACTCACCAACTAAAAAAAAAAAAAAAGTTTCTAATCTCTTCATCTTCATTTTGTTAAATTTCTCCCCGAAGAAAAAGTAAGGGAGTTATCAGATTCTGAGGTCAGAATGGCTTTGAAAAGCCATTTAGTTCACAGCACAACCCCCTCCTCCACCCCCCCCCCCCCCCCCACGCTACTTTTAATAAATATGCTAATATCCTGATATTCATATCCTGACCTTCTAAATGCTGCAAAAGCATAGTAGTCATTAAAACCAAACTGAAGAGTAAAGAAATCTAGTGGATGTTATTGCAGTGCTTTTCTTTCATTAACAAAACTACAACCGTGTAAATCTGATTTTCTAACACCTAAGCAGCTAGCTGAAAACTTATTTTGTGATTCAGATTTAAAAAAGAATTAAGACAAACAAGTTAACTGCTATGTACCTGTGTGTTTTTTTCTGTGTCTGATCAGCTGTTAGAGGGCTGTGAGACTGTTTTCCCAGTTTTGGTGGGCCACGAGTATAAAAAGCTTACGAAAAAACTCAACCTACTAGCTAACGAAATAGTCACCTACACATTTAAATCATTTCAGAATCCTGCCAAATGGTTTTCCGAACTGCTCAACGAGTTGTCCAGGCTGAACGATGAATCTAGAGACATTCTTCATCGGTGTAAAAGACAAGCGGAGGGCAGAATTCAAGATTAGAGAATGAAGTGGAAGCAGAATAGTTGATAATGCAAGAGATATATCAAGTGAAACAACACCAGCCGATCGTGACAACAGAATATTTTATGACTGATAATGCAAAGAACATGTGTAGAGTGAAAGTAGAATGAAAGTTGATAGTGAAAGCAAGGGTGAAGATAAAGGGAAAAGTGTAGAATGAAAGTATAATGAACAGCTGACATAGAAACAGAATAGATTATAATGATATGCAAATGACGAAAATGTACACAGCAAAAGTATGAAAATTGGTAGCCTGACAGTAGAACAAACAGCTGATGTTTACAAGAGATAGTGATGATGATGATGGAATTAACTTGTTTGGAGTGAAGTATAACAAATAGCTGAGAGCGAAAACAGAATAGATGATGACACACATATATAGAGTATGTGCAAGGGAAAGTAGAACAGTTGAGAATAAAAATAGAATAGATGATTACACATATATAGAGTATGTGCAAGGGAAAGTAGAACAGTTGAGAATAAAAATAGAATAGATGATGACACACATATATAGAGTATGTGCAAGGGAAAGTAGAACAGTTGAGAATAAAAATAGAATAGATGATTACACATATATAGAGTATGTGCAAGGGAAAGTAGAACAGTTGAGAATAAAAATAGAATAGATGATGACACATATATATAGAGTATGTGCAAGGGAAAGTAGAACAGTTGAGAATAAAAATAGAATAGATGATGACACACATATATAGAGTATGTGCAAGGGAAAGTAGAACAGTTGAGAATAAAAATAGAATAGATGATTACACATATATAGAGTATGTGCAAGGGAAAGTAGAACAGTTGAGAATAAAAATAGAATAGATGATTACACATGTATAGAGTATGTACAAGGGAAAGTAGAACAGTTGAGAATAAAAATAGAATAGATGATTACACATATATAGAGTATGTGCAAGGGAAAGTAGAACAGTTGAGAATAAAAACAGAATAGATGATAATGACACAAACATAGAACATGTGTGATTGAACACAGAACAAATAGCTGAGAGTGAAAAGAGAATAGATAATAATGACACATACGTGGAGAGAATGATGCTAATAATTAAAAAAAAAAAAGTAAAGATCCCTTTTCACGCCTTTCGGCGCATCAGGCATATGGGCAGAGCGTCCCATATTTTTACAGACCATCAGCACTCTGTGGGTAATGTGGTCAGCATTACGCCGGCTGTCTTTACTTTCCCAGGACAGCCCATCCTGGTACCCATTTTAGGCTGGGTCGACCTGCGACGTCCCATACTACGATAAAAATCCCCACAGCCTGCAGTGGGTTTCGATCGCGGTATGCTGGCTTACGAGTCGGACTCGCAACGCCTTAGCCACGGACGCCGCGCTAATAATAAGGGGGGGGGGGGAACATGGTCTGATGTTGGAATATTTGCTTGTGAGGCACAAATATTAAAATGTTTATCTTGCAGGATTTAGATAATACACACAACAAAACTATACAGTCCTATCAATAAAAAAAAAATATACTGACTGCCTTTAGCACTTCTGCAGTGTAGGACAGGCAGGTCTGTGAGCTGGAAGATTTAAGGCTGCATGCTAATTGCAGGTGCCGTGAGCTGTGTGGGTTAGGATTTTTATTTCTGCCCCCAGCAGAGAAAATATCCATCCCTTACCAAAGGCTTAACATTCTTAAATATTTACACGGAGTCCCTGCAAATAAAATGTATGCATACTTTAGGGAAACAAAAACCTGTATGAAAATTGTAATATTTAATGTATATACACGCCAGTGAATGGAATGCAGGTTAACTTTTGACATCTGCAGTTACAGGAGGTGCCGATACTGGCTGCCATCAGTATTCGGACACTTACTGCAGCAAGCTACTTTTTGGGCAAAAACTGTCCAGTGGCATTGCTGCACGTGCTTTTTCATTGTTTTTCTGAAGAACCACCAGTGCAGACACATTTAATTCTCAGTTTAGGAAGGTACCTCTACCACAGGTAGAGTCCACGTGTTTGGAGAGAACATCATACTGCTGCTCATTGCTGCTAAAATTTGAGGTAACTTTAACAAGTGTCAACAGATGACATCTGTCAGATATGTTTACATTATTTTCAACAATTAAATTGAAAAATGTAAACGTCTGGCCAGGCGGCTGTTGCAGCAGCAGCAATATTTTTACTTTTCAGCTATGTTAACCTTTCAGTTCTGTTCTGTTTTGAAGAATTAAATGAATGCTGATGCATATTCTGGAGTCTGTCACCTACTTTTTTCATGCCATGTGGTGCTGTTAAATCATGTCTCTCCACTGCCACTTGTTTCATGCATTGCCACTCATTTCTGACACAGATTAGAGGGCTGCCTGGTCTCGAGGCATGGTGTAGAGGCCTTCAGTGTTGAGGTTCCGGGTTAAATCCCCGGTAAGGGCTGGGATTTTTTTCACGTGGACTTGAACGTCTAGTAATTCCCCATTGTCTCTGGGTAGTAAGATCATCTGACGCCTGTGTGCATTGTTGCGCACGTAAAAAAAATCCCTTCTCAGTTAGAAATTGAAAAGAGAAGCCTAACGGCGCTGCCTGAGCAAATTTGGAGTTCAAAATCTACCCAGAGTATTTCAGGATCCTCGCCGGTGCTACAGAACCTGTGCACTGTGCTGAGCTTCTTCCGAGTCAGACTTGAGTTAGAAGAAGAATGGAGCACTTGTGGGTTACTAACTGTGTGCCATGATGTTGGTTCAGTGTTCAAACCTTTGTTTTGACACAGATTCTGTGATGCCATGCTGTCCAGTCTCCCCTGTCTTGGTCTCCTTCTGCAACCCCCCCCCCCCCCCCCCCCCACCCCAGTGTATGAGGCTGTTCCACATTGTCAATTGTACTGGGTGTATAGCAAGGCCGTTCAACAAAGTTTGCTTAGGGGCCAAAATTTTGGAAAATGGAGATCCTAAGGGGCCAGAGGACCAAGCCCCAGCATAGAAAGAAAGAACAGTTGGCAGTTAATCTGCGGGGCCAAATGTGGTCCACTGGCCACTAGTTGCATAGCCCTAGCATATGGTAAGGTAGGCAAAGGACCTTTTCACAGATTGTTAGTACTAGTGAATTCTTTTCACAAATTGTTAAGTACCAGTGGATTCTCTTCACAAATTTTTATGTACCAGTGGATTCTTTTCACAACCTGTTATGTACCAGTTGCCAGATCTATGGGTGGTGTGGCCATCTTTGCTTCCCAGAACTTTTAGTAACATCCAATGAAAACAATGATGACATTATAGCAATTTCCAACAAAAGAAACATCTGAATGATGAACTGTCAGCAACCACCAACAGAAATAATGTCTGTATAATAAACTTTCTGCAACCTCCAACAGAAACTATATGATGAACTTTCAGCAACATCGAAAAGAAACTGTCTGATGAACTTTTAGCAACAGAAACTGTATGATGAACTTTTAGCAACAGAAACTGTATGATGAACTTTCAGCAAACTTCAACAGAAACTGTATGAAGAACTTTCAACAACCTCCAACAGAAACTGTATGATGAACTTTCAGTAACCTCCAACAGAAACTGTATGATGAACTTTCAGTAACCTCCAACAGAACCTGTATGATGAACTTTCAGTAACCTCCAACAGAAACTGTATGATGAACTTTCAGAAACCTCCAACAGAAACTGTATGATGAACTTTCAGCAACCTCCAGCAGAAACTATATGGTGAACTTTCAGCAACCTTCAACAGACACCCAAAATGATGCACTTTCAGCATTTACAGCCACGTTACAACATGAACTAGACAGACTCAGTGAGTGTTGCCAGGAATCGAGAGCACACATGAACCCCTCAAAGGCCTCATTAACATGGTTCCCTCTGAATACCCACATTGTCAGTACAGCAATGCCAGTTGTAAGCATGTGTGGTGTAAACATCGAGAGAATGGACACCATGAAACACCTGGACATGACATTTGACAGATGCCAGTCATACATAAACCAACTCTTTTCTTCCTGTGTGGGTTCTGGGACTCATTTTGGGAAATAAAAGAGCACACCCACTGCCCACTGACAAGCATGTTGTAAAAAGGACTAATTGGGGGTTTTTCCATTGAAATCAATCTATCTGCCTGAGAGGTGAGGAACCAATAGTCTGCATAAAAATAAGTCAGATCTGTAAAAAAAATGGATATGCACACAAAACTCAAGTCCTGGAACAAGACTAAAGTCCAGAAGTGGATGAACAACCAGAACTTTCTGTAGAAAGTCTACAAGTGAACGTGAAGAAAAAAGAAATTTTTCGTGCCTCACTTTTACAAATAAACCATCAAGTCTGCAATCCACAGACAACAATCTTCCACTACACATCTGTAAAGTGAAGGACTCCTTCACACCACTGGAGGATAAGGTATAGGGTGCTGAACCGACTGACCCTTGCTTCAGGGTTTGTCAGTTAATTACTTTTGTGTATTCGTGCGGTTTTGTTTGATTTATGCGCTGATGAAGGCTTTATAGTTTCATTTGTGTCTGATATGCTGTGAAGCTCGTTAATCTACTTCTCATTCAGATTTATACCTTTCGGTGTATATAACAAGCACCCCCCCCCCCCTTTCCCAACAACAAAATGTGATTAAAAAGAGGACAGAAAAAAAATCCCAAGTACTCTTAACAAGAATTTTGAGAAAACAAGCACATAATTTATGGGGTCAAAAATAAAAAAAAAAGCGGTCATCAACAACTAGTAATTTAGTGTCCAAATGTGAATGTGATCGTTGTCTTGTCTTGATGATATCTACTATTATTGGTCACATGTTGGACAAGGCACACATCAGATCCCTCTTCACACCAAGCTGGCAGCGCTGTTTTGTTTTTATGACAGTTAAAGCCAAAAATCTGTTATTACAAATACAAATGGACTCAATTTCAAAATTGGACACTTTATTAAAATTCTTCTGCAACATGTACACCGACTAAGAGAAAATACAAAATAAATAACATACAATAACAGAAAATATTTAAGTAA